TTACACTTTTCTGTCTCCATTCTGGTGTTGCTAGAAGCCATCTCAGTGTGCCCCTAAGCTACCCAGAGTAGGGCAGCCAGCTGGCAGCCCCTTTCTGCCCAAGCAGGGCTTTTACCTGGGGAGACCCAGCAGCAACAATCCCCTTCTTCCCAGGGCAAGGCAAGGGACCCACAGGCACGCAGGGACCTTGGTGCTCTGAGCCAAGGGGTGCCACAGACTATGTAGGGGCTTGGTACACATGCTCATCCCACAGATCCATCCTCTGCAGGCACTGGAGGCTGCTGGAAGGAAGAATATATTAAATATAATCATATTTACTGTAATAGGACAATAGGAATATATATCTTCTTTTGTATATTAAAACACTTTTTTATTCCCCTGTAATTTATATCTATATAGTGGATGTGAAATATATATAAAAATACTCATATACACACACTGAGTGTGATACTCTGCATGGAGTGGGGAAGTCCTGCCTTGGTGGCATCTCTCTGCATCACACAACCAAGTGATGGAAGAAATGGGCCCAAGCCAAGTGACATCTACTCTCCCATCCTCACTGTACCCTGCTCTGATCATTTCCCATCTGTGCTTGGGGTCTGGGGTGCCCAGAATGGGGTGAGGGGACAGGAAGGTGGGTGCAGTATCTGACATCTCTGTCTCAACACGATGGTGATGCAGCACCAAGGATGCTTGGTAAGGTGGAAGAAGTGCCCAGGGGCACTGACACTAGTGGCACCTCACCATTACAGGTGGATGGTGCAAACACCCCAGAAGTCCTCCTGGGATAGGAGTGCATATCCTCCGGTTTTGCGCAGAAACAGATGTTTAGCAAAGCACCGATGGGGAGTTGTGGCTCACAGACTGTAAGACTCTTCTCTGCTGTTGAACACTCACTTTATTTATAGCAACAAGATCGCTGCTGGCATCAACACTTCTCCTTCAGCCCTATTTATAAATCCCAGCTTGTTCCTCAGTGTGGCACAGCAGCCAGCTCCACTCCAGCAACACCCGCCAGCGCACCCCAGCTCTGCACCCTGCCCACAGGCAGGACAGCACCCAGCTTTTAACTAGTGCATCTTCCCCGAGGCCACCTTCACTTCTTCTGGCTCACAGACCCTTCGGAAGCATCTTGCCTAAGAGAGATGGCTCCACCCTGGTGGCTTCTGCAAAAGGCTTCTGCTGAAGCAGAGCCCCAATCCCAAGCCACCAAAGGCACGTGGCAAGCAGCTTAAAGCTCAGGGTCAAGGAGGACCCTGGTCCTGAGTTGCAGCCTTCTCCCCCTGATGCTACCATGCAGCCCTGGCCAGAAAGCAGAGACCAGTGGCAGTATGTCCTGCCCTTAGCTGGGGTGCTTGATCTCAGCACCCACCCCAGGAAGAAGGTGGTTCTAAAGCTCTGCAGTTCTTCCCCTTCACACCAGGTCAGGAGGGTGGACTGTGTGCACCCATCTGCTTGCCTGAATTTAGGGCAAAGAGGACAAAAAATCCCCAACATCACAGGCAGAGCACGCCCAGAAGACGAGTCCCAGGACTGGTGGTGGTTGTGCAAGTCTGGGATGAGCCAAAGGGATCATTGCTGGGGGTAGGAGAAAATGCTGCCAAGGCTCAGGTTAGGGCCTTGTTCATGCAGAGAGTCAGACTGAAAACCTATTTTCCTGTTCTCTGAACGCCTAAGGAGGCAGACAAAGGCAGAAGCCCCTTTGTTCTCTTTGAAAGTCACCCTACATCACGTATGTGCGCAGCCGCCCACACACCAGGGTGTAATTTCTCTCCACGGCAGAAGAAAATTGTTGAGCTTCCTGCTGCTGCTCTCTCTTAGCATCGAGGTGTGCTTCACACTCTTATGACAAGGGCAAGAAACCACTTTGGGGATGAAAAAGGCATCCAAATCCAGCCCACGACATGAATGCTACATTACAATACTTGATAGCAGCCAGCACTGAGGGGTTGTTAAGGTTCCCACGTTATTTCTGGGGTTTGGAAGCATCAATCACATTTAATCCAGCTTTAGTTGGAAGCTTGCTCTATTTTATGACATGAGCCTGTAAACAGGAAACTTCAACCTCCAGTGAGACTGAGGAGCTTGCAGAGCTCCATCCCACTGCTGCCCCACTCTTCGGCATGGCAGCAGAAATTAAACACTTGGAAACCCTGGGCAGGTGGAATAGCAGGAGCTCATCAAGTCTGAAGGCTTGGTCCTCACAGCCTGTGTGGGAACTTCTGGCTTGTAGCAGAACTGGAACCTAGTTAGGCACATTTGGGGCGTTGATCACTGAGTGCTACAGGAAACAAGGGCAGAAGCCATTCTTCCCTCCGGCAAGCTCCAACTGTGCTGGCAGAAGCTGGAGGTGACAGAAATGTGTTGGGCCAGCTAAGCCTGGTGAGTGCATGTCACACAGACAGGGACATTGATGATAAAGGATGCCCTGAAAAACTTACAGGGGTGGACTGTGGTGGTGAAGAGGGACTTGCAGAGGATGTGTTTGTGGAAAAGGCTCTGTCCACCCACCATGGGATGGTCCTGTGCCAGGCATGGCAGAGTGAGCTCCTGGGCCGTGTCACCGTGAGGGTTTGGCTGGGTGACTACAGAGGTGCCTCCTGTTGGCTGTGCAGCCATGCAGTGTTGGCTGTGGCTCTGTCAGGGCAGCTGATTCCAGGGTTGGGCTTCCAGATGGCCCCTGTCATAGTCAGTGGTGGCAACCAGCCTTAGAGTCCTGCCACATCTCCAAGTCTATACCATAGCTGGGAAACAAACTTCACGGTGCAAATGTTACACACTGACCTACCTAGAACTTCTCTCTGCCCTTGGGAGGAGACCACACATGCTTTCAAGGCTAACCAGTGTCATCCACAGCTTGTCTGGTACCTTACAGAGGCTTATGAGCTAAGACAGGACATCCTGATGTCTCAGAAGGGGATCTGAACAGCCCTACATACTAACCCACCTCAGTGCCTTTTGAAGGTTTCCCTTG